AAACGTGTCCTACGCGCAGATCTCGGCAGGTGGGCTCCACACATGCGCTTTGCGGGCGGACAATGAAGGCGTCGATTGCTGGGGCAGCAACACTGACAACCAGAGCACCCCGTTGCCTGACGTAGCCTTCATTCAGGTCTCTGCCGGCGGGAATCACACCTGTGCCATCAGGGCAGACACGGCGCTGGCTGAGTGCTGGGGTCGCAACATCGAGCGCCAGAGCTCCCCGCCGTCAAACGTGTCCTACGCGCAGATATCTGCGGGCGGTCTCCACACGTGTGCTTTGAGGGCAGACACGGGGCGCGGAGAGTGCTGGGGCAAGGACGACGCCAATCAGACCAACGTCCTTCCCGACGTGCCCTACGCCCTGCTGCCGTCGCCTCCCTCGCAGCCGCCACCGTCGCCACCGCCGCCGCGCTTTCCCCCAATGGTCCCTGCCGGTCAGCCTCAAGCGCCTCCTCCACCACCACTAGCTCCGCCACCCTCACCGCCGCCGCCTTCGCCGCCACCGTCGCCGCCGCCGCCGCCATCCTCGCCACCGCCGCCGTCGCCGCCGCCACCGTCGCCGCCATTGGCCATCGTTGTGAAAGACTCCGCGGTCATCACTGGCGTGGCGGAGTTAGGGAATACTACTGCCAAGGACATGGGCGAGGCAGTCGATGATAACCTCCGCTTCCGCCTGCGTGCACTGAATGCTCAGCGACGAAGGCTGACCGTCAAGAACCGCCATGTCTGCCAGCAGTCGCGACTCGTGCTGGAGGAGAGTGAAGTCTCATTGTCGGACCTCAAGGGCTTCTACCGTTACTGGTGCATGGACAAAGGTGGCGGAGGAACGTGCATCGTCGAAGCAGATCCAAACGCCACCGACGCCTTCATAATCACCTGGGGTCGATGTGGCGCTGCAGCTCCGGGGAAATCAGTCTGCGACGATGAGCCATGCGAAGACATGCCTGGAGATCGACGTTTGCTTGACGTTCCAGCGGCGTATTGCCCGTATTATCCCTCGGATTTGGATGACTGTGATGCCAATTTCAAAGCTGCCAATGTCAAAGCTCCTGAAATTTACGCCATCAGGATTGAGTACGATAAGGTTTTTGATCAAGCAGATGGTGTCGACTTTGGAGAGTACGCGAGATCTGCGGAAGATAAGGTGGTTCGCGCCGTGGAAGATGCGGTGGAAGAGGTCTGTGGTGTCTTCTGCGTAGTAAGATCAGCGCCCGAAGTGCTCTTCCCTCCCCGTCCACCGCCATCACTACCGCCATGGCCGCCCTCACCGCCGCCGCCCTCACCGCCACCGCCCTCACCGCCTCCTCCGGCGTTCGTCGTGATTACTAGTAACTCTCGCTGCCAAAGCGACAACATGGAGTTTGTCGCTGCCGGCTACACTGCCTTGGGAGCGCCGTACTACCGCGCGACCTCGTCCTCGGTCTACATTTACTGGGACCCCGACTGCAACGGCAGAGGGAGTCCAGCCCGCTGGATTGTGGATAATGAAGCCCCGAGTACCACCGCTTTGAGCGACCTCGATGGCGACGGGGCTTGCTTCTTCGCAGCTTACATTGACTTTAGCACGAATTCTTCTCCTCCACTTGGCACGTCCACCTGGTGGGTGGCTTGCAACGGTGAGCCATTTTCCCAAATTGACCTCACGCTGGCCGCTTCGCCCTCTCCGCCGCCCTCGCCGCCGCTGCCGCCAGCTCCGCCCTCGCTGCCGCCAGCTCCGCCCTCGCCGCCGCCAGCTCCGCCCTCGCCGCCGCCACCCTCGCCGCCGCCGCCGTTTTCACCGCCGCCCTCGCTGCCACCACCAGCTTCGCCTGCAGATTCATCTCCATCCCCTGGCCTAGCTGGGTCGACAATTGTTGTCATCGTTCTCGCACCGCTCCTCGTGCTTGGGGCCCTCGGGGCTGTAGCCTATAAGCAGTACGTTGACGTCGACCGCAAGCCTCGCGTGTCGCTCGTGGCGCCCGAGAACCACGTCGCGTCGCCAAGGAACCCAAGGGGCCGGGCCATGCTCCGGAGGATACCCACCAAAAAGGTCTGGCGAGCCTGGGAGCGGGCGCAGGCCGAGGCTAGGCCAGCTGGGGGCTACGTCGCTAGGGCGGCCGATGGCTACGGAGCCAGGCTCGAGCGAGGTCGCCGCCAGATTTTGGCCACAGTCGCCAACCTCTCAAGCTTGCGGCCCAACTTGCGCCTCACGCTGCCACCCTTCCTGCAATCTGGCATGTCTGCAATAGCGCTTCCCAGTCCTGGCGGCTCCCGGCCCGACAATTGCTCGCTTAACGATGCTCTCGAGGCGGCCGTGGCGAGCATTGCCAGCCCCGGAGGCCACATCCAGTCGATGGGAGACTACGGCAAGTTTGGCGGCGCCATCCAGCAAATGAGCACCGGCGCTCCCGTTCAAGCCGCGCTGGGACTGCACCGCTTGCTCGGCGTGAGCGAAGCCGAGATCTTGTGCCTGATGGGTGATCCCGTGGATTCGATCCGCGCGGAGTTCCTGCGCCACGGCTCTATGGACGACCTGTGGTGCCTCGACTATGTCTTGAAGCAGCCGGCGGGCACGTCGGATCGGGAGTGGCCGAACGGCAAGATGGACGTCGAGCGATCCGGCGAGACCTTTGACGACTTTGTCAACCATCCGAGCGCCCGCTCTGCCGGCCTCGACGCGGGCCACGTGCTCGCGCTCCGCATGTACACGACCAACGCGTACCGATCGCTCAACGTGCCGCTGCGCAACACGAAGCGCAAGGAGGCGCACCCCTTCCCCGTGACGATGCTCAAGCTCTCGGACGGCATCAAGAAGCTGCGCGCGGTCGGGGCCCGCGTCGCCGGCGCGCACGAGCCGGCCGACCTCTACCGCGGCATGCGGGACATGTGCGTCACCGCTGACTTTGAGCGCCGGGGCGGCTCCGAGCTGGCGTGCATGTCGACGACGACGGACATCGTGGTCGCGCTCAAGTACTCTGCGAGCCAGGCGAGCCTGCTGCTCAAGCTGCGCACCTCCTCCTTCATGGACCGCGGCGCCGACATCGCCTTCCTCTCCGCCTTCCCGGGCGAGCGCGAGGTGCTCTTCCCGCCGCTCACCTACCTCAAGCCGACGAAGCGGAGGGAGGTGCTCAAGCTGGGCGAGGGGGCTACGTGCACGGTCGTCGAGGTGACCGTGGCGTTTCCAAGCTGAGCGCGGAGCCGCCCCACATCGCGAACGGTTATGACGCGAATATAGCTAGAGCGCTGCACCGTCCGCTAAGTCCACAGTACGGTACGGGACAGGCGAGGCCAGCATGCACGCCTCGCTTATACGGTGACATTGCTACACAGAGAGTACAGTGTCTGAGTACAGTGTGGAGATGTTTTTACTTTTGGGGTTTTGTTTTGGGGGGACGGTGTTTCGTCGCTAATTCCCTGACCCTGTTCCGTGTGTTCGATGCGCGCGAGCAAAATAAAAAGATGAAACTGAAAATTTGAGTACGGAATGGTACGGAAAAATAGAGTACGGCTCGGTGCTCGGTGGGCGCGATGTTTTTGGTCTCAGTCTCTCCATGTACTACCTCTCCGGCAGCGCCGCTAGGTCCTCTTCATATTACAAGCCTCCCCTTCTTTGCCTTCGAGAAAACCACATCAGGGCAACCCCTTAGGCGGCGGCTCGCCCGGACACCTACCGGCACGGCCCCTGACCGGCGGACCACCCGCCATAGCGGCGCGGTTAGTAGACGCGCTTGACAGTGAACGTCATCATGCGCCAGATAGGCATGCATCAACTTCGACATTTTTTGGATTCCAAAACATGTAGATTTTGACTGTCAAAACACGTCCGTCTCGCAGCAGGATAGAGCAGTAGGCGGGGCGAACACCCACACACGACATCCCATCACTCAATGGGGACATCCCACGACACGCGTTCACCACCTCCCCAGTGCCCGAAGTGACACGGCTTACGCGCGCGCGGGCGCACAGCCGTCCTCGCTCAGGCCAACGCATTGCGCTCTCCCGCGACCGACCGCGCGCACCTCCCGGCTCTGGCGCCGATCATTTCTAGCGCAGGCGGCCGCCGGATGACGCAGCTGCTTTGATGGCGAGCATGAACGGCCTGCGTTCCTGCTCGACCCGTCTCAGGCCGGTCTGGTGCCTATTTGTCCTCCTCCTTCTTCTTGGCCAGGTTTTTGGTGACGTGGGGAGTGCGGAACGCGATTGGCGGCGTGACAGGGCCTCTCTCGGCTGCGTGTGCCGCCCTAAGAGGCACGCGGGTGCGCAGACATCGCGCGACTCTCCCGCTCGCTCGACCCTTTTGCCGCGAGAGGGCGCCGGCCGCGTCTAACAAACGGCTGCTCGTCGGCTACCCAGCGCAGAACCCTGCAACGCTGGCATATACAGACACAACAAGACTAATTTTAACCCTAACCCAACCCTAACTCAACTCTAATTCTAACCCTAACCCTAACCCGAACCCTAACCCGAACCACTCTTGTACAAAGCTGTGCACTGCACCCGATGCAGGATGCAGATGCAGAATGCAGAATGCAGAATCGGCCCCAAAGCTGTGCGCTGCACCCGATGCAGGATGCAGATGCAGAATGCAGAATGCAAAAACTCACCCACAGCCAGGAGAGAGCGGACAGAGTCCCGATGCAGGATGCAGGTGCAGAATGCAAAAGCTCGCCTCGCCCAATGTAGGTAGGACGGCAGAAGGGGGCCAAAAAAAAAGTGGTGCGGAATGCACAGTGCAGGTGCGGAATACACATTCCCACGGTGCAGATGCTCTCTATGCAGACAGTGTGCTGCATGCTACATGTCTCACCCGAACCCGAACCCTAACCCTACCCCTAGAGCTGTTTAACCTTAACTTTGTGGTGTCTTCTCAAGCACTAGCACATGAACGCTACTGACGTCGTACCCCCCAACTCAGAACTCTCCACACCGCACAAATTTGAAAGATCTTCATGAAAAATCAGGCCCGACCGCAAATTTCGGAGAGTTTTATACGTGTTGTTTTTTCGCGCGCATAATGTCTCCACTGCGCACTACAACCTCGATCTCCCTCTCCTACACAGCTGCGCCCAGCAGCTCGTCGATCCGCGAAGGGACCTCGGCGAGCGAGCGAATCACGTCGCTCGCAGGCACGCCCCGCTCCGCCGCCGGGTCGGCCGCCTTTCCGTCCGGGTCAAAGAGGAGCGCGTGCATGCCGACCGCCCTGGCCGCAAGGTAGTCCTTCTCGAGGTCGTCCCCGACGTGCAGCACCTGAGGTCAGGTGATAGGTGAGGTCAACGTCTCCACACACACGAGGTGGTGGGGCAAGGGCCAGGCTAGTCCCTCGCGACTCCACGCCTAGAAAGTCAGGAGCTTTACGGCGTTCAAAGAACAAGGCTCGGTGCGCGTGGGTGAGCGGTGTGAGGGTGTGTACTGTGTGGGCCTGCCCCGGGGCGACGTCCGGCTGCGTGCGGCCGTGGAGCAGCCGGTTCACATGCGAGGCCTTTCGCGCCGCCGCGTCGAAGACGTCACGGCTCGGCTTCAGCGCGCCGGCCTCATACGACGTGGCTGCAAAGTCGAGATCGCGGTGCAGGCCGAGGAGAGGCAGGTTTTGGTCTACGTACCGCGGGTAGACGTTCGAGCACACGCCGACGACGAGGCCTATCTCCACGGCAGCGGCTGTGAAGCGACACCACTGGCCGCACCACTGTGCTCGGTGCTGACGACCAGGCCTCTTTCCTTGGCGTGCCGCATCGCACTCGCCCCCTCAGGGCACGGGGCCCACACGTCTGGCGACGCGAACGACGAGTAGATGCGCTGAAAGACCAGGGGGAAAGTCTCATCGTCCAGCGCTTCGGTGCAGCCCGCCTGGTCCAGCGTCGACCGAATCATCGCACGCCACCACTCGCGCTCGTTGGCGAGCGACGCCGCGCCAAAGTTGGGAAGCTCGGCGTTGTCTTGCCATAGGCGGACTTGAACGCGGCCTTCATGGTGTCGTCGTCCGGACACGGCAGCTTGTAGTGCCGAACAGCCTCGCCGTACACTCGACCGAGCGGGACGGACATACAGACGAGTGTCGAGGTGATCTCAAAGGTGAGGCAGCGCAGCGCGCCACCATCGCGGGCGGCCGCTGCGGCCGCGTGCTTCATATACATACAATTGTGACGCCGCGCAGTGTGGCGGCTTGCTGCTCGCTGCGATCGCGAACACACACACACACACACACACACACACACACACACACACACACAAAAACTCGTCTCGCTGCACACCAAGGGCTTATGCTCTGGCGAGATGTGAGGCGCATGCCCAGGAGGGGAGGGCGCATGCGTAACGACGCTGCTAGAGATGCCTTTCGGGGCCCAGAGATAAAACTTCTGTGATGCCATGCGTGACCTAGTAGCGAAGACTCACTCCTAAAAAAAGAATTCTAAACACCCCGCTCACAGCACACTGAAAAAAGAAAATGCCCACCCAAGGGAGGGATGGGAGGACGGCACGCCGCCACCACACAGGGATTTTAAACTCACTCCTCGCACTCTAAAAAACTGTTCAAGTCTTAAAGGCAAAACACAACGCTCTGCGGTTGGTGCACCCCCCACACTGACACATTCCCCTCATCCCCTACCCTTGGCTGAGCACATCTACCTGCGAGCTAGCCTCTCCGCATTTTCTCTTCCAGTCATCCGCCCGCGCCGCGCGCCATCTCTGGGCGTCTAGTGCAGCCACTGACAGAGCTATTCCGAAGGAGTGGTCGACGCCTCGCCTAGAGTTCGGGTGGACTTGCGCACTGCTTAGCCCTGAGGGGGGAGTGTGTGTGAGGTGGTGTAATGTCGTCCCGTTTCAGGCGGCAGGTCAGGGGATTAGCCGGGAGGATTCGGCAGCTCAGCCGGGGGCTGAGCGTCTGCAGGCAGCCTTCCGCTCGCGCCGAAATTCACAGCCCTCCCGGGCCGACGGGGTGCTCCTTGGATCGGGCCCCGCTCCCCGCTTTTCCTGTACCTGGACTGTCCGGGTCAGGAGGGTGAGAGTATTGGGTGGGCGAGGGCAGTACATCTGGCGGGTGGGGATTGAGGGACAGCAAGAGGGCTGATTGTCGAGGCTGATTGGGGGGTCAATGGGCGCGGGCGGCGCTTCGTGGTCCTGGGCGAGCAGGGGCAGTGGTTAGGAGTCTTGGGCCTGGAGATATGAGGATTGTCGAGATGTCATGCGAGAGCGGTAGGTGGGCGAAGGTAGCGCGGCTGGAGAGTGGTGTCCGAGGGACAATGATGAGTTGTCAGTTGGGGCGCGAGACGCGCGGGACAGTGTCGAAGGCGGCCAGTGAGGTAGGGTTGGCTTTGAGCAGTGCAGCGAGTGTGTAGTCAAGCGTGGGAGCGGGGCGCGCGAGCACCGGATTTTTTTGCTGTGCGAGTCGAGTTCGTGGCCGGTGCGCGGGAGATGAGTTGTCAGTTGGGGCGCGAGACGCGCGGGACAGTGTTGGAGGCGGCCAGTGAGGTAGGGTTGGCTTTGAGCAGTGCAGCGAGTGTGTGGTCAAGCGTGGGAGCAGCGCGCGAGCACCGGGTTTTTTTGCTGTGCGAGTCGAGTTTGTGGCCGGTGCGCGGGAACCTGGCTGAAAACCCGCGCATCCGGCCGGTTGTGCGACCGAGGTCGCCGATTGTACGACCGAGGTCGCAGAGCCTTGGCGACGCGACGCGCACGTCGCCAAGGAGTTGGTAAAATGTCCGAGGTTTTTTCTCACTCCTCGCACTCGTCGCACACACATTAGGATTCTTAAAATATTCGTTCGGGGGGTGGGGAGGTCCCTACCCTACCCCCACTCCGGGTGGGTGGGTGGATGGGGAGTGGCCTCGGCAGCGCCAGGGGTGCTGTCAGGGGTCGTCCAGCCACGACTACGAGACTTGACTGTGAAGAGTGGAGCCAATGTGCCACTGTCTGGACGTTGTCTGGACGCTGTCTGGACGCTGTCTGGACGCTGTCTGGACGCTGTCTGGACAGGCTCAGGACTGTCTAGACATCTGCGGGAGCTCCACAAACCAGGTTACCCCACTCTCCTCTCGCACGGCGACTCGCTCGGATATTTCGGCGGAACTATCTGGGAGCTGTGGGGCAGGCTGCGAGCGTGGCATCGAGGAGGCCTCGTTTCTCGGCTAATCTCGGCGCCTTCCACACGTCTGGCGGCGTGATCGTGTGGCAGTAGTCGGGCGAGAGCGAAGAGATGACGACGATCTCCGTCTTGATACTTGATACTCTTGAAGATGACGGAGGTCCCTACACAAACACAAAAGAATTTGACCAACTCCCTCGCACGACACTAGGCATGGGCTGGCGCGCACTGGCACTAAGAAACACAGGTACACCACCGGAGCCGCCTATCCCTATGCTACTACTCCTGCGAGGAAGGCGAGGCACTTAGGTCCGTGACCGAAACACAAACATCGACGACACGCAATCTCAGGAATGCTGCTGCCCCTGCCCCTTCGCCGTCGGGGGGTTGATGGAAAAGATCAGCGAGACCTCGAGAGAGTAGTGCCGAAGGCGCTCTTTTTGATCGAGCCGTGTGAGAGCTCCGTCGGTGGAGCTGCACTCAACGAACCACTCGCACTCAGGAATGCCCCTGCCCCTCCCTCCTCGCCTCCTCCCCTCGCCCCGCGCGATGCGGCGCGTGTTGGCCTTTGCGCGAGCGTGCCCGGCCGCTTCGCCCAATCTCCCAAGCGCTGCAGCGCGCTCGTGCCGGGCTGCCCGCCGTGCTGCGACCGCCGCCGCGCGAGCCGCCGAGGATCTGGCACAATCGGATTGCCGGTCGGAGCGCTGCTGAGCGCGGCGCCGCGGGTCGCCTCCATGCCTTCTGCGCTCCCGCGACGCCCGAACCAAACCCGTGCCATGCTCATCTCATTTTACGCTGCTGACGCGCCCTCCGCCGCCTGCGCGCCTCGCTGCAGGTGCACACGATGAAGATGCGCCCCCTCCTTCCTCTTGTGCTGGCATCATTGCCGCTCAGCGTCGTGGCTTTCGCCTCGTCGGAGGGCGGTGGCGGCACCGTCGGAGGTCGGTGCTTGGCGGCCGGCGAAACACAGGTCTCCTTCTTTGAAGCGTTCGACTTGACAGCTGCAGACCCGACTGCGCAGGCTTTCATCACAAACAAGCAGCAGGCCGAGTGGACCACCACCACGGGCCCCGGCAAGTTCTATGCCGACGCTTCGACTTGGTTCGCGCCGTTGCGGGAGTCGGCGGACACTTCGACTGAAGTCGTCGGGCGGGCCTATGGGTACTGCTCCACCGTCGCGCTGCAGTCCAACACGGCGGAGAACCGCACGAAGCTTTGCTGGTCCAACTTCGAGTGGCATGCTGGGCGCTTCAAGGACTCGACGCTGGTGATGTCCGGCCCGTACAAGTACGATCGAGAGGAGCCCGGCAAAATGTACGGTGCGTTTGGCAGCCAGGCGGGCAGCGGGAACTTCACCATCACCGGCGGCACCGGCTGCTTTGCTGGAGCCATTGGCATGGTGGGCCAGCGGATGACCAACGACCCCAATGTGTTTGAGGAGGTCATCTGGCTGGCGCCTGCGTCTCAGCCGCCTGCCCGCGCTCGGGCGATGAATTCGATGCCAAACCCCACCAAAGATTGCCTGTGGGACGAGGGCATGAACACCAGCTTCTTCGAGACCTACGACCTGATTGCCCAGCAGTGTGGCGCCACTGCGCACAACCCGGATGCCAACGCACAAGCCTACGTCACCAACACGAAAGGAGAGTGCACTACAGCATCGACGGGGCCCGGCAAGTGGTACGGCGACGCCACGACCTGGTACGCGCCGCTGCGCGAAGCAAACGACGTCACGGCCGACATTGTTGGCTGGGCCAATGGCTACTGCGTGACAGTCGCTCTAGAAAAGAGCGAAACGAATTCGCCGCCCCTCGACACCCTCCGCACGCAGCTCTGCATCTCCTCTTTCGTCTGGCATGCCGGGCGTTTCGCGGGCTCGTCGATTGCCATGCAAGGGCCCTACTGGTACGAGCGCGAGGACCCCGACGCAACGTACGGCACGTTTGGCAGCCAGGTGGGCGACGGGAGCTACACGATCATCGGCGGCACCGGATGCGTTGCCGGCGCCGTGGGCACGCAGTTTGAGCAGAAGACCCTGGACCGTAACACGTGGCGAGAGGTGGTCCAGCTGGAAGAGAAGAAGAAGACGTGCGATGACATCTTCGTTTCCGACGGTGGGAAGAAGACGGTCTCGTTCTTCGAAGCCTACGACCTCCTCATTTCGCCAGGCGTCCCCAACCCCGACGCCGTCGCGCAGGCCTACGTGACCGACTCTAAAGGGGGCTACATCTCAGAGACGAATGGTCCCGGCAAGTGGTACGGCGACGCCACGACCTGGTACGCGCCGCTGCGCGAAGTGAACGACGTCACGGCCGACATCGTCGGCTGGGCCTTTGGCTACTGCGTGACAGTCGCTCTGCTCGAGGGCACAGATTGCGAGGAGCAGAGCTGCCTTCGCACGCAGCTCTGCATCTCCAACTTCAAGTGGGACGCTGGTCCCTTGGCGGGCTCGTCGATTGCCATGCAAGGGCCCTACTGGTATGAGCGCGAGGACCCCAACGTGTCGTACGGCACGTTTGGCAGCCAGGTGGGCGACGGGAGCTACACGATCACCGGCGGCACCGGCTGCTTTGCTGGAGCTGTGGGCGTGCAGTTCGAGAAGAAGACCGAAAATCCCAATGTGTGGGAGGAGGTGATCGAGCTGCACGAGCCGGCCGCCGGCCTTCCGTAGGCCTCACTACAAGATCCACAACAACAGCCCGCGCGCCCAGACAGGTTAGTTGTCGGGCGTGCGGAGGGCACTTACCGCGGGAACGCGACCCGTGGTCGAGAAGGGGGGCACATACCATGCACTTGCTACTACAGCTACGGATGGAAGCTCGAGATCAAGACTTTTCGAGGCCTTTCTCGAGACGGACATCGACCACAACACACTATCCACTGCGTATCCACTGCGCACACAACTTTGGCATCTCTTAGGCTCAGTCGCAATTGGCATCGAGCGGGGGGGGGGGGGGGGGCATTGAGGCTTTATTGAGGCACACACGCCGTCAGGACTCCGGGGAGGCGGGTGGCAAGCGGATAGCCCCATGTGTCCTTTTAAAAAGATTTTTGTCCTAACTAAAAGGACAGGTTCATGAAGGGCGCCACGCGCCCCCGCTCGCCGGCCCAGTCGTACCTCCCGCACTCCACTTGCCCTTCGCGACTTCCCCGTGCCCGGTGGTGCCGGGGGACGACAGTCGTGGCCTTGTTTTGGACGTTTACGTGCCGCCGAAACTTGATCACCGATCACCGTCTGAATAAGTAACTCCTAGAAAACTCTCCAAAGGCCGGTGATCGGTGATCAGTGACCAGCCGGTGATCATGCAGCTAGTGGGTGGTGCCCCGGCCGACGTGAGCGTCATCAACCCGCCCGCAACTACCACCTGACGTACGCCGCACTCGGCCGCGGCGAGCTCTCGAATGAAGACGTGCTGAGCCAGCTCACCGCCAAGCGAGCGCATCAAATGCCGCTCGCTACAACAATGGCACCCTCCTGCAGTACATGCCACGCATCTTCACCACCAACAGCCAGCTGACAGAGGAGGACCACATCCTTCCCCGAAGGCGCAACGCCAAGCAGCAGCAGTTGATCGCCGCTACCGCAAGATTGGTCCGCTGACAGAGCCGCTGCAGCGACTGGGACGCACGCTCAAAACCGGGCGGGCTCATAGTGAAGAAGATGGTGAAGGGAGTGCTTGGGCGCGTGTCCAAAGGTGCCAAGCGGCCTGCAGCGCCCTCCTCCCAGGCTGCAGCCCCCCCCCCCTACGCAAGCGGCAGGTGATTGTAGACAGTGATGAGGACTAGCGGGCGTAAAGGACAAGCGGTTGCGGGTACGTCTCCGGGTCGGTTTTGAATGTGTTGCTTGGGCTGGGTCGTGACCCCGCCGCCTGGAGGCTGTCAGGTGGACATGGTAGCATACCTCAATGCCCAGGAGAGGCTTGCAGAGAGCTCAATGGGAGCGAAAACGCGAGATCAAGGTGTCCTTTTGTAAAGGACAAGTCCTTTAAAAGTCATCGGCCTATCCGCAAGGGCGGCGGGAGGGGCGGGGAGGCGGGCAGACAGCGTCCGCATGTCCTTCTGCATGCATGGCGATAAAAGGAGCCGTCAAGACCTGAGTCATCGTACACCCAGTGGTCCCAACGCGCGATTACCGATTAGCCGATTGCTTGTTCTCGGTACCCAACCATTTGTGTCGGCAAACCCATGAATCTCAAGCATAGTATGATAACAGCATACCGTACAGCTGACAGTAGCAATTGCTCCACGCTCCAGAGCATGCATCTTAAGATTCTTAATAATTCTTATCAGATTTATGATGCGTCGTCGATATCGAAGTCGAAGTTATACATGGAAGAAGAAGATAGCGCGAAGCTCAGGGAAAGCATCGCCAGACGCCTCGGCGCTCTCCCGCCAACAGTGCCAACACACCAGCCCCCAGCCGTTACGCCCTATCCTACCAGAAACTATCCAGAAACTGCGTCAGGTGCGGCCGCAGGACCATGTCGTAGGGCGTGCCCCGGACCAGGATCTGGGTGCCGCGCGGGGTCGCGCCCGGGTTCCATGCGAGTCGTGGACACCAGGGTCTCGAGCGGGCGGACGTCGCTTCCAGGTGGGGGGGGGCGCAACAGCAAGCACGGGGGTCGGGACCCCCCCCCCCCCCAGGTAGATGATCATCTACCTAGGGGGGGGGGGTGGGCTTGACCCCCCCAAGGAGATGATCAGGTCCGGACCACTTGGCACTTGGTGATATGGACTCTAAATCATCAATTTCGCATCGATTTTCATGATTGATATGCATTGCTGATATGTCGCCTCCTCCTTCCCCCAACCCCCTCTCCGCGATAGCTCTCGGAGCGAGATCGGAGGTGTCAGGCCGCCGTGAGCGACTCCCGAAATCGCCATTTCGCCGTGAGCGCCATGCCCACTGAAAAAAAGCAGGACGACGACCGCCAGGCAGCGGCGCTCGCGACCGTGGCGAGATTCTGGTGTCTCCACCAGCTAGCGCCCTTCCTCGACCAGACCTTTGGCGTCGCCGGCGCCATGGACCACCGCATGATCGACAGAAGCTGCCAGAACGGGCCCGGCCAGTGCCTTCGCGAGTACTTCGACTACGACTGGTTCGTGCGCCTGCCGCTGATGGTCGTGTGCATGGCGTACCCGGAGCGCCGCCTCCTGCTCGCCGCGCATGCTCTGAACGTCTTCGGGCTGCTCGACCGCATGCCCGCCGTGTGGGATTACATGTGCTGGTGCGGCATCATGGAGCTGACCTTCGTCGTGGCGGCGGCGCTCTCGGCCGCGGACTGGCGCGGACTGGCACACACACCGGCTCACCACCGGAGCCGCCTAAGCGACTCCGTTAAGAACGGCAATGCACTCCGCACCATGCACAATGCCGCTCTCCCCGCACGCGAGAGAGGAAGAAGCTCGGAGAGAAGAGGAGAGGAGAGACGGGAGAGGGTTGATGGGTTGTGTGCAGAGCTGGGTTGTTGTTTGTGTGTAGGTGTGTACGCGTGTGGAGCGAGGGGGGGCGCAAACGGCGGTGCGGGCGAAAAAGAATAGGACATCGACAACCAAGTTCAAAGAGCGCACGCACTCGCGCGCACACACACACACACACACACACACATTGTGCCGGGGGGGTGAACTGGGTCCGTGGTTGTGTTTTTGTGTGAACGGCGCGCTGAGAGTTTGAACGCCGAGGTGTGAATCTCGAGGTCCGCATCTTTGAGAACTTCGCGCTCGGGGCAGGGCGGCTCGCACAGCCCCTGAGCGCCGTCATGCTCTCGCGCGCACCGCCCAGACCGGAGGCGCTCTGCCCCAGCGCTCAAAACGCGTCGTGGCTCTGCGACGGCTGCAACACCTTCCACGCGGCTTGCGAGTCGCGACCGAGGAGGGTGCTCGGCTTGCTGATCTGCCCAAGCTGCAGGAGCAAGAGCGAGACGGAAGGCGGCGAGGGCAGCAGTGGCCTGCTGGCGGAGGGGGCTGCCAAGCGCGCGCGCACGGCAGTGCAGCGGCTCGGCCACAACGACAGCTGGGGGGAGGGGCAAGCCTCGCGCTGGGCGTCGTGCGAGGGGGGGCAGGCGGGCACGCCGTGGTACTCGCAGGCAGCGAGGAACAAAAAGCGAAAGCGGCAGCTGCAGGCCAACGAGAGCGGCGAGATGCTCCGGCGGCACTCTGGCAGCGACACCGGGGGCCACTCTGGGAGCGACACTGAGCTGCAGATCGACGAGAGTGACGAGGAGGGCGCCGCGGCGATGATGCTGTTCATGCCTGGGCGGCAGGCGGGAAGCCCCGAGGGCGGCAAGAGAGCGCGGTCAAGGACGGGGTCCGAGGCCGGAACGCCGGGGCCACTGCCAGCGGTGGTGGCGACAGAGTTGCTTGCCTTTGCGTTCTCGAGCCGCAGCGGAAGCTACGTGTCGAACGCGGCGCACATCAATGGCGCCGTGAAGCCGCTCGTCGCTGGCCGCTTCGAGGCGCAGAACCAAGCGAGGGAAGAGAACGTCCCGATCTTTGAGGCGAAGCAGCACGATGAGATGAGCTCGCTGCCGCCGCAGCCGCCACTGCCGTCCGTCGCAACAGGAGATGGCACTGTCGCTGCGCAAGTGTGGATCGGACGATACGAGTCGAGGGCGCTCGCCAGCATGGACGACGTGGAGCAGCTCCTCGCCGCGGCGCAGTCGGGCACGGCTGCCGCTCGGGTCGGGAGCCAGGAGAAGGAGCAGCCCGCTATGTGGACGGTCGAGGAGGACTTGCTCATCGTCGACCTGGTCGAGACGATCGGCAAGCGCTGGAACCGCATCGCCGCGGCGCTGCCCGGGCGGACCGAGAATGGTGTCCGCAATCGGTGCGCGCACTCAGCCCCGGGCAAAATGCCGCGCAGAGCGTGCCTCGCAACTCGCCGCACTAACCTCGCCCGCGCCGCTCTGTGTATCAGGTGGAAGCGCATGGAAAAGGCTCAGCAGGTGCGGAAAGACAAGGGGGATGGGCACGGCTACCGGTGCGGCCGGTGCGGGCAGCCCAAGGCAGGGCACATCTGCCCCGCGCTGACGTCGGGCGAGCGGCTCGAGGGCGAGAACCTGGTCAAGAGGGCCACCGCCCTCTCCGCGATGGCCTCGAGGAAGATTAGCGTGCAGCAGGCCGCGCAAGCGCTGGACAACGTCATTTATCGGCCGTGCAAGTGGCTCGAGCGCTTCTGCTAAAAGACAAAAGGGCGTCGGGGCTGAGGGGCTCTGCAACCGGTACGACCGGGCTCGGCCGCAGGAGCAGCGATCGCCACACTTCTCAGCAGTAAGAGACGGGAGAGCTGTGAGCGCCCCTGAGGCGCTCCCTCTGCCAGAGTGCGAACTGCATGTGCGCACTT